TTTTTTTTTTTTCGTGATAGAATAGCGTCTAGTTTGTCATTATCCGTGTGCAGTTGCGTCGACATTTGTAAATATGCGTGGTAATCTAGTTTTCACTGGAAGGTGAATAACAAGTTTCTGTGATTATAGAAAGTGCGTTGTTTGTGGTTATGTGTTTCTTTATACTAATGTTATGTTATTGCCTTTACCACCTTTATACTAGACTCTTAACTGTATTAAGGTAATAGTATTATTGCATACAAAATAAAATATTTTGTTTTAATGCAGCTCGAGCCCATAGGTAGAAGTAAATTAGTTGACTGTAAATAGTTAGTTTAGTACCCCTGCCACACGGAAAGGTTAATATATTTTCATTAAATGGTATGGGACTTAATCAGCTCGTGGTCTTGAGTGATTATACGAGCGTCGCAAGCTCTTGGAAGTTGGCGCCTGTCCGTGTCGTACGTGTCTCTTTTTTCGCCCTGTTTGTTCGCGCCTTTTAACCTTTTAATCGATATGAACCAACTAGCCCCAACAAAAGTTTTGTCGCAAGCTGATTTGTCGACCCCTTAATGTCATTCGATCGAAATTACATTACTTCTGCCATGTGGCCGGGGTATGATGCAAGCATTCAGTGACTGCACGCGATAACATCGCTTACATAATCGAAAGTGGCACTTGTCTAGCCGTGTCCGCGTTGACTACGTCTACCTGATTTTTACCTGTGATCTGTTTTGTTGTGTCCAATCACTGCGTGTCTCGCCATTTTGTTGAACTATTTCTGTGTAAAATATGCATTCCTACAGCAATAATTGCGTGACTCAATGTTTTCTCTTATACACCGACCTCGTACCATTTCATACCGATTATTTAGCGGCGTAATATTTTGCCCGTGTAATAAAGTGTTTCTTAGACCCGCTGCTACGTGCAACTTTCATTTTAGCTAATGAGACGCGCCTATGTGACTAAAAGCGCGTTACGAAGGTCGATCCACGCGCGATGCCTTCGCTTCGACACGCGCCCCCGATGGCCTTCCTTCGCGACGTCACGAGGAGAGCGCTACGCCCTTCTCTTTTAGGAGGTGTTAGAATGCGCCGCCGTTTCCTCTCTTCTCTCTCGCCTTCTTTCAGTAAAACGATCTATACCGCGCGTCGTTACCCTATAACCTTTCAGGACAGAGACAGTGCGTAACAAATGACAGATCAGGTGGAGCCCCTCAGAGGTCAAACGCCCCACACCGGTGCACGCTTCCCGAACAGCGGGTTTTAACGTCAGGCGGCAGATTCCCGGCTTCCATAATGCTCCGTTTCCCTTCACGGTTTACTGTCGCAGCTGCTATCGATGCATCGCGGCCAGTCCCATGCCATGAGAGCGTCACGTGACCTGTGGGAGGGGGCTCAGGGACGCGTGAAGTTGGTGGTCACGTGTACGGACCCAGCGCTGGGTTGGCTGAGATGGCTCGTTGCGTCCGCAGTTGGCCATCATGAGGACAAACGGGGTAGGGAAAGTGGGCTCGTAGTACGGAGTTTTCTCGCTCGAGAATGAGTGCATGCAACCACACGGAAAAGTTTCTCGGAAAATGCGGGACCATTAATAATCTTGCGAAAGCCTGGTTTTGTTGACATATATATATATATATATAGAAATAGAGGCGATACAAAGCAAGGAAGAGAAAAAGAAAGAGGGAGCACTGCTCTACGGGAATCCACCTTCGGGGTAGTTTTATTTTTAATTTAGTTGCAGACTTATTCCACTGTTTTTTTTTATTATTTTATTATATATTTGTATTATAGCTAGGAGCAGAAAGTACACTGCTAAAAAAAACAAGGAAAATCACCCAGTGACTTTTTTCGTATTTTAAAATAAAAACAACAGCCCTAAACTCGACAACTGACAAAAAGGTAAAAAGTACACACACAAGAGGCTGACCGTAACAGCGCTGTTTTGCAATTCGTTCAAAACATGTTCCAACTGGCTCAACTTAATGCATTGCTCCAGTTCTTTTTATGTGCATATAACATAGAGGTTTCTTCTATTATTTACTGGAGCATTCAGAAAACAGAAGAGGATGACCGAAGAAATGCCGTCTTTCTAATGATATATTTATTTTTCGGTCTTAGAACAGAGAGGACACAGAACAGAGTAAACCATATAAAACGAAAAATGATGCTCCGCAAATCGCTTACGACGAAACGAATTCCCCTTATGTCAAGTCACTGCCACGACTATAAACCCATTTCAAACTTCTTTTTTAACAAAAAAGCGGTGTATCTTGTAAGAGACGCCGAAGGGGTAGGAGCCGGGACGTCTTGCTGCATCTGTCTGCGTACTTCCCTTCTTTTTTTGTCGGCTTTCGTTTTTGCGTTTTTCTTGTTTCTGTTTGACAAGGTCTCAGAAACTGTCCCGAGCTTCTCCTATCCTTCCTTTCACTGTAACTTGGCAAAGACCGAACGCTACGGTCCCTCGAGCCAATCAGAGGGACGGACACGAAGCACGTGACAGCCGTTACACAAGGGTATAGGCCCAAGAGCGCAACCCAAACGGTTGGAGAAGAGGAGAGAGGAAGGCGGAACATTCCTCTTTCTCGTGCATCCTTTCGTGTGTTCCAGACGTCACTTTTCTCCCCATCGGAGATTAGCCTCCCACGCAATATTTGTTCAAAGGTGACTTTTGCCTCTCCCGTCCGTGGTTTTGGCACCAATGCGTGCACAGCTGTAGTGAGATAGAATGTAGTCACGAGTCCGATTCCAACGCGCTGCTTGGCTCAGTGGAACTGTAGTCTTTGCTGTTTGCCAAGATGTATGGAGACTTATAAGAAAGCTTAGAAATATAGAAAGAGCGGTCTCATTGGGTCCACGAGATTGAGATGTTTCGTAGTCTTGGTCTAATACTTCGGAACAAGCCTTACTAACCGTCCATAAAGACAAACATATATATATAAACACGTTTTTTGTTGTTTTTCCCTGGACACTATTGCGTTTTGTAACCTAAACGCTTCAAACGAAGAGAGATCATGTTTGATATTCCTATTCCGACCTTTCAGCTCTTTCATACACAACATGCTTTACGAAAGGCTTCGTAGGAAGAGGCGATGTATAAGCCTTAGGTCGCCCTTTTATCCCTTCGCGTTTTTAGAGGAGTTTCGTAGTAAAAATAAATGAAACGTCAACCATACGCTGCCGTCCTTTGAAAGATCCCTTTCGAAAAAAAGGAATCTTTCAAACTCGGGGCCCCTATGATCAAACACAAAAGACGCTGATGTCTGGAAAATCGAAGAGTATATGTCTCAATTTCAAAGCGGTTCGTTTTGAAATAAGAGTTTCGTGCCTAATTATACTTCGCGAAATAGGTCGCTGGTCACAATTCGCATTTATAAAAACCTAAACCTGAGGAGTACATAGAGAAGGGGCTGGTCGGCAGCGTATTTTTTTATAGTTCCTGTCGTTCAACTCACCTGAGCTTTTCTATACCTCTCTTAGAGTTGAAAAAAGGACCCTGTTTAGAGCCTGAAGAAGTTGAAAACGGACGTTATTTATTTTTCTCGGCAATGTCAAATCATCTTTTTTTGTTCCTCTGTTTGCTTGCTTGCTTGCATGCTTGCTTGCTTGCTTGATTGATTGATTATTTTTAGCCGCGCAAATAACTGTATTTATGCTTTCCGCACTCTTCACGCTTATGAAGGAGAACCAAACGTGAAGCTTAATTTAAAGTGCTTTATTTCGCAACGAATATAGTTAAAAAGAAAGAAACAGCATGTAAAGCATTGCAGAGACTAAGTAAGCGGCAAACAGGAGAGCTGGCTTAAGGTTAAAGCTTCAAATTTACAACTTTTTTACTAATTAAGGCATGCTGCGTCCGGTCCTTTTCATTTGTCCGTCATCTCCGGTTTTAAGTTCGTGATAAAAAGGAACAGGCGTCCTTTCCAATCTTACAGGTCGTCCGCACTAGGAATCGTCCAGCATTATTACTTTAGAGGGAAATTAAGGCAGAAGTATTTCGATTTCATATACAATGAACGAAAAGAAAATTATAAATTATATTTCGGCCAAGATAAATAATGTAGCCCTAAGGCTAGACGTACAGCCACTTACGGGGGTGAGGTTGAGGCCGCACGCAGACTACCCCCTAAACCAGGCATAGTACCTGTTGTCATTGTAATGTTTTCAAAGCAAGCCACCCGTAATCTCTGGCTGAACAACAGAACAACAATTAATCGATTGGGGGCAGTTCACTTGCTTGAGAATGTGACAAAAAAAAACAGTGCTCTACTCTGGTCGACAGAGGCGTGGGCAAATTAAGAGTCTTATCAGTTTTTGTGAAATGCAAATGGAAACATTCTCGTCAGACGTAAAGTAAGCGACCGTGCGGTTGTGATAAAATCTGCAGATGAATTAGACAAAATGCGTTAGATGCCTCAAACTTCCGAGTGTAAGACCGCACTCTTACTCGACGCTTGCATCCCATAGTTCGGTTGCATGTACAAGCGAAATGTTGCCCTGCATTGCCACCAGCCGCGCTACCAAGCGTACGACCGAGTCGCACCTTGTTCATAGCCGTGGGGCTATACAACGACAGGCGGCACTGACTTCACGCTGCTACGGTAACGCTGCCGTCGGCGAAGCGCGTATGGCGACGCGCGTATGGCGATGCGCGTGTGGGGACGCGCGTGTGGGGACACGCGTGTGGTGACGCGCGTGTGGTGACGCGCGTGTGGTGACGCGCGTGTGGTGACGCGCGTGTGGTGACGCGCGTGTGGTGACGCGCGTGTGGTGACGCGCGTGTGTCGCGACGCGTGTGTAGCGACGATTCTCTTTAGGCGAACCTGGTTTCTGCGCACGTGCAGTGCTGGTGTGGGCGACCGCCCACTTGTTTGTAAACAGCGCGTTATTTTAGAAGTTCCGAGAATCATTTCTTTGGAAGATCATGATGCTTATTTCGCCGATACCTCTGTGAAGGCTCGAGTCTTTTAGACTTTACGAGTGCTTTTAGTGTCTGAATGATCTACTTTAATTCTTCCATAGAATGGGCCCCTGGCGTACGAGGACATCACTGGTCTGGTCTACACGCAACAAGTCCTCAACGAGACCATGCGCCTTCACCCAGCCGTTGTCGCGTGAGTACTTGTCTCGACAAAGGATGGCAGCCAAGACACATGATTTAAACTGGAGGCGAACGGACGACGAAAAAGGGACGCACATAACACACTTGGGACGCGTTGCGTGTGCCTAATTCTTATCAGTTCCCTTTCGTTTATGGCTTAAATTGTGTGTAGCTCAAACTATAGCCTCGTCTGTTTTGTTAACATTCACTTCAAGCCGCCCAAAACAGGCTGTGATATGCGAAAAACAAAATTTCGGATTTATCGGAAAACACGGAACCCTACTTATAATTACGACTGTACCATTACTTCATGCTGGTTCTCTCAAGTGTAGAATTGGCGAACCGGCTACACTCCTGTCAGGGTTAGGGGATCTTGTTTCTTTGCATTCCATCCCGCACGCAATCTTTTGTTTTAACAGTCATTCAGAATGGGTCAAGTACTAATACCGATGATAATGCTCACATGTTGTACGCCATTCACGTGATCGGCAATTAAGGTCATAAACTTGTCGGTCCTTAACAACCTCAATATATCGCGTCCTTACCGGCAATTAGCCTTTTTATGAACTGAGATCTTGTCAAAGAAGTGTCGACTGCAGAATGTAAAGCGGGGTGTAAAAAAATAAAGCTTTTATTTATGTAAATGATATCGACTATTTGACTTCCATAAAAGTTATTTTATGTTTTCAGGTCTATATTATTTAAATCTCTCCAGTTAGAAAAGAGGGAATTCTTGTCGATACATGAGTTTTTAAAAATGATACCATGACCTAGATCTTTCTTGTTTCGTAATTATTTGCTTTAAAAACAAAATGAATGCCACATGAACAGCATAATCTCACATATGGTAAATAAATATATTGTGGCGCTGCATAAGAGAACGGTGTTTTATTTAAATCATCATAGTCAATTCTATGCGCCTTAAACAATTACTTATTTTTAAAAATCATGATTCAGGTACAAACCTCAATTAACTTAATTTTAATTATCCACCCTGGTGCAAAAGAAATGTCTTCTAAAAATTTCACCTCTTATGAAGACAACTATACTTCAGTTCAGCTTACGTCCAGACGCTACAAGCTAATGAACTAATCAAGCACCGTTAAAAGCGCAGGTCAATTGGCCCTCGCTGTTAATGATTGGTTCAGCGATGACTGAACACGTACGGAAACGTAGCAAACACCACGATGATGCGCTTTTTAATGCTGTCTGATTGGTCCGACCAGCTCGTAGCGTCGGCTGTGTCTGGACTCAATGTGACACGGAGTATAGTACTTTTTATGTGATCGGCAAGGGCGGATTTTTATTTAAAAATGTATGCGGACTTTTTTATATTTAGTATTGATCAAATTATCTTTAAAAGAATGCTTGAGTTAAATGACGTCTTCACGGAGCTCCTACAGCTTAAAAATACTTTAAACGTCGGGCTAAATACGCTTCAACTTGTAGTGAGAATGTACCGATAATCCCCCTTACATCTTAACCAATAATAAATCTGTCTAAACTAGGGTGTGCGAATATTCTAAATTTAGAATACCAATCGAATATTTTCCTTATTCGAAAAGTATTTGATTCGAAAATTGCACATTCGGAAGTTCCCGAATATTCGGCCAATGCCGTATATTCGGAAAACACGGCGAATATTCGCACAAACTGCGAATATTTCAGCAAGTAACGAACAATCCGCGTGCCACGCATTCCCCTACGGATATGTTTATTCACTGAGGAAGGCGTATGATGTGTGCGTTATCGGTCTGCTCCGTTTCTATCTGTCCAATGGCAGCAAGACAGGATCAGTTTCGGTTTCTTTTTCACCAAGCCCTTTGTTGTGTGGCCCTTTTGCAGCAAATTGTGATTTAACTGCGTGTTCTATAAATTGATACAATAAAATAAACCTCGAGATTGAAATATAAATATAAAATAAATCTCGAGAGTTCTATCTAATATAAATGCTTGAAAAGTAAAAAAAAAAAAAGGAAAAGGCTAGGTGCGAGCAGAACATTACATCGCCATTGACAACCACTAATGCCACTCCCGCAGAGTCAAAACTAAGGGTGTCACGAACCTGCCCAGGTTCGAGTTCGACCAAGGTCGACTTTTTCAAACCTTCAACGTTATTTTCGACAGAGGTTCGACTGATGTTCGACTTTTGTGCGCATGCGCGAAAATTATAAAAAACAAAATAGTTGATTTCACCTGGCGGAGGAATGGTGCAATATTTGTTGGGTTTATTGGCATCCCTGATTCTCATTAATAACTAATGAAAGCGTTAAAAACGCACATTTTCGCTTTTATATGGTTTAATATAAACATTGGTAACCATTTTATGAAATATAAAATAATGTACTTTCTAAATTATTTGTTTCCCAAAATTTGTAATATTCGTGTTGCAGCCGGGCAACACTGTACATAAGTGGAATGTCTTCGAACTTAAGTGAAATTTCGCAAGTTTCCCGAGTGAAAGGGTCTTTCTACTGGCGGAAATGTTGTCACGGCGCGTAGGCAGTGCTTACCTTCTGAACGCGTTGAGCAGTTAATTTTTCTACATAATAATTTGTTATGAGTGCATTACTAGAAATATCATTAGCCTGCTGCAGCCCAGTAAAACTCAGTTGCACTGATTTATTTTTAAAAAGACAATAAAACCTGTTGTTACCACCTGCTTTGCAATTTTTTATTACTACACACATGTTCGATATTCCATTCGATATTCGAAGCCCGTTTTTTGTCTTATTCTTATTCGATTCGTATTCGAAAATTTCAGTATTCGCACACCCCTAGTCTAAACCAATACGCCAAAACCATTAAGCTTTTTGTTTTTATTTTAATTTTTGAAGATGCATTGTATCTCTATCTTCACATTTCGATTGTACTTTTGAAAACCTCATAAAAACAGCGAAAAAAGTTTTCAACAAAAAATCAGGTTCATTTATTAAAAACAATTCACACATTGCTATATAAACTCTAAACTACGAACGACACTATATGTAAAATATAAATGCTAAAGCATAAAGCATAAAAGCACAATCAAAAGGTAAAGGGCTCTATAAAAAATTACAAAGGCAAAGACGTATAGATGAAGAACTAAATTGAATATGTGACCTTTTCGTGGGTTCTTCACCATTTAAAACCAAAATTAAAAATGCAATTATTCAAACACAGCTATGCCCAGACGTGCCGGCAAAACCTAATAAATGATCAACCATAAATATACTACTTCCAATGAAAACACCAGAAAAATACGTCATAAAATACCAACTTTTTGACGCGACTATTATACAAAATTAATTTAAAACTTCATATTTTCCTAAATAAATTATTACTATTAAATTAAATTTCTTACGAAAACAAGACCGTTCAGGAGAACAATAGCGTTCTGTCCAAACATATTGGTGTGTTTGGCGTGTTAGTTCATCTAGGTTGTTTTTATTCAACTAGAAAATTGAATATTGGAACCTGTCTTTCTGATGCCATCTCATCCAGATAATGATAAAACAAAAATACGTAATGCACGCCTTAAGAAAAGTTTACAGCAGTTTGCTCTTTAACCGTCAACAGCCCTTAATTTAGCCATAACTCAAACTCTTTTCATTAAAAGCTTTGGCTCAAACGTCGTTCGTAGCGTCCCCTGGTGGCCTATAAAGTGCAATTAAGATTCTTTCAAGGTTTCAGACATAATAAATCACCGCTGATTTACAGACCCGCGTTATAGCGGCAACGCTTCTACACACAACAGTTGTACGCACATTTCATAGATGTGGGAGGTTTGCACCACCGAAAAAATCCCAGCTTAAGTCTACTGCACATTGACTAGCATCCAGGTAATATATTATTTTAAAACACACATCTATGTGAGAAGTCGTATTCGTATTAACTTTTATTTGTATTTATTGACCATTTGGTGGGATGACAGCTGCAAAACTTGAGTAAATAGAATCAACGTGTTCAATTGATAAACAGATTGTCGCTATATAATCAAATTCTCACGTAGTGCTCATTATAGTTTTGATATCGGAAATGTTATCGGGATGTTATTATGAGTCGCAGTCCCCAAAATACAGCGTTTGGGCACTGCGACTCATAATTTGTGACTGTTATTTCTAAACTAGAAAACCTCTATGTGTTCTCTGCTAACAAGTACGGCTGCACTTTAAAAAGTAAGGTCGAAGCTTGTTTGGACCAAAACACACGCCGATCTTCCAAATTACAAAAAGAAAATTATTACCGAATGTAATACGCGAATAAGCTCAAGTAAGTTTCTATCAAGCGCCGAAGACTCGTTGTTACCGAAGAGTTGTAGGGCCGTTCTGTATACGAATATGATCAAGGTATCTCGATTGAATTCGAAAGCAATTTTCATACTGGGGAGAGTTAGACGAATGCCGTCCTCACCATGTATCTATCAGGCTCCGCAGACGTTAGATAAATGCATAATTGTCATGTTAAGTTGAATAATTAAACATTTCAATTAACTTTTTAATTCTTAGTTTAGGGGTAGTATTGATATTACAGTGTTGACGGAAATTACTATCAGAGGCCCGACTAAATCAACTAATTTCCCAAAAACTATTTTTTTTTTTTTTAGAAATTAGTCGATGAATGTTTGCGTTTTTTTTTCTGTCCGATTTAAATTTAGCACGCAAAAAGAGTGCATCAAACCCTTCACACATTGACGTTCTGAAGAGTGACGCAGTAGTTCCTGCCACGTCGTCAATTGTACCGTTGACGGGCCCACCGAGGACACGCTGCCGAGATAACGATGACATGATTAAAACGACGACGTCACTCTTACGAAATGTATTGCTCGCAGGGCTTGGGACGCTATTTTTAAGCGCAATTTTTAAATCGGTCCTAAAAAATTATTTGATTCGTATTTTAAAAAAAAATACATTACCGTTCCGCTATTGTTTTTAATTGGTCCGGCCTCTAAATGTTATTGTCTTAAATACCGCACGTTCAGCATGACCCCTAAAACCAATGTTTGCAAATTCAATGAAGAGATTTTAGTTAATT